CTGCTCTCCTGCCTCACAGACAGGCGGTAGTGGTCGTGAGCTTTAGGCACCCCAGGTGAGGGACGTGGGGTGGGTTTTGGTGCCTGGAGATCAGCAGCCTTGGTGGTGTGGTGGGCTACACGTTGGGCTGCTGGCCTCAAAGACAGCCGTTTGAGACCACCAGCCGCTCCTCAGGAGGAAGATGAGGCTTCTACCCCGAAGGAGGGACGTCTCAGAAGCCCGCAGGGGCCGATCCCCCTGCCCTGCAGGCTTGCGATGCGTCAGGACAGACTCGGTGAAAGTGAGTTTGGCTTGGAGGGTTGTTTGTTTGTTTTTTGAGAAGACCAAATCTACACTATCACTCAGCATTCATTCGCGGGATGAGACTTTATTTTCATTTTGAAAGTCATAGAGGAGGAAAAGGATGTATGAAGTGTGGCCAAGTGACGGATCAGTCAGGCTGCTTGATGGCAGAGAGAGCTGGAGCGAGAGGCTGAAACAGTCCAAGAAGAACAGGAATGAGTCTGGAACACTGGTCCTCGTTAGACCCATGTAGACCTTTAAGGGGAGCCTGATGGGTTCGAGCAGAAGGGCTTGGCACTCTGTTGGTTTCCCTGAGTCCCTCTGTCACCAGACCTTGCCTACTTGGCCACGTTCATCTTCTCTCTTCTTCCTTGTACCCTAAACGCTCACTCCGCTCAATTCTTCCGCATCACCAAATGGTCCCGGTGACTCCCTTATATACCACAGAGCCCTCCTTCTCTCCATATGCCTGTGCCTCAGTCTACTCGGCCAGCAAACCTTCCCTGCGCCCTCTCTCCTCCACCCCGGCCTGGGGCAGGAGCTGCTCTCTGGTGTCGGAACCCAGTTGGACACCCTCCCCTTGAGTGTCCACAGGCGCTAAGAATACGATGCGAGGCCACGTCTGGGACGGCTGCATCATCTCTGACTCCGTCCTAGCAAATTGTAGAGGCCCTCCCACTGGCTACCAAGAAGTAGCCTTTTATGTTGTGAGGGGGCCGCAAGGCTAGGATTGAGGGTGTCCTTTACAAGCTGACAATGACCTTTGGCCAGCAGCCAGCAGGACATGAAAACCTCACAACCAGAAGAAACGGGTTTCTGCTACCACCCTGAATTGATGCGAACTCTGTACCACACACGAGCTGGTAGCTCCCACCAACAGTGTAACTTCAGTCTGGAGACCCTTAATAGAGGACCCAGCTGGTTTCCAGACACAGAAAAGGTAAGATCACAAATGTGTGTTTCTGTAAGTGGCCAAATTTGTGCTCTTTTGTTTTACACAATAGAAAATCAATAGATGGTCAGAGCCCTAACAAGACTCTCTACTCCTCAACGACGGGGCAAAGTCTTTGTTTAAAGGTTCCAGCCCAAAAGCATGTGGCACACAGCCAGCCTAGGTGCTGAGGAAGCATCTGCCAAGGAGAAGACACGGACTTTGGAGGTGAGAAATCTGAGCCCCCAGGAAGGGAAAGACCCTGCTTGGGCTAGCCCAGCAAGTCAAGGGTGGAACCAGCGCTGGACCCTCCACCTACGCCCCGCCTCACGTCTGTGCCATCTGTCTGTACGTGTCATCTGCTGTGGTCACAGTGTCCTCTGTGCTTAGTCGTCACAGGAGTCCCAGAGACCTTTCTCCATGTTCCTTTAGCACCTGCGAATCTCTAACAGGCAACTTGATTATGGGTCCAGCCGTGTGCTCACACAGGGCAGGGCTCACAAAGCAAGAGAAGCCCAGCCCTCTCCTGAGCCACACTCATGGAACACAAAGCACAGCCACACCGTGTGGACTGCTTTCTGTGGTATAGTGGGTGCCTGGGTGGGTGCAAGGTTAGCAGTTTGGAACCACTGGCTGCTCCTTACTAAAAAGATGGGGCTTTCTACTCCCATAATGAGTTGCAGGAGATAGAGAGAGAGAGAGAGAAGCAT